TTAATTCTGTCCTGGGAGGAGGAAGGGAAAGCTCACAGGTGTTAGAGAACAGCTTTTTGTCCGAAGCATCTTACCTGTGATGAACAATCCCCATAGTAACTAAGCAGTAAGAAGCACTTAGGCTATCAGGCAAAAAGGCTCTTTTTAAAACTGTCCTCTATAAAAGACAACTGGAGCCTGATGTGGTGGCATGCGCCCATAACACTAACACTTAGGGAGGCTGAGGTGAGAGGATTGCTTGAACCCAGGAGTTTGAGACCAATCTGGGCAACATAGGAAGACCTCATCACTACAAAAAATTTTTTAAAAATTAGCCGGGCCGGGTTCGGTGGCCCAGCCTGTAATCCCGCGCCTTTGGGAGGCTGAGGTGAGTGGATTGCCTGAGCCCGTGGGTTCGAGACCCACCTGGGCAGCGAGACCTCATTTTTACAGTAAAAAAAAAAAAAAAAAAAAATCATCCGGGCGTGATAGCGTGTGCCTGTAATTCCATCTACTTGGAAGGCTGAGGCGGAAGGATCGCCGAAGCCCAGCAGGTCAAGGCTGCGGTGGCTGGGAGTGGCCACTGCACTACAGTCTGGGCGACAGAGTGAGACTCCAACTCAAAAAAAAAAAAAAAAAAAAGCCTGAAGTCCCGGTTACTCAAGAGGCTGAGGCAGAAGGATCACCTGAGCCCGGAAAGGTTGAGGCTACAGTGAGCTGTGAGCATGCCACTGTGCTCCAACCTGAGCAACAGGGTGAGACTCCTAACTCAAATGAAGGAAGGAAGGAAGGAAGGAAGGAAGGAAGGAAGGAAGGAAGGAAGGAAGGAAGGAAGGAAGGAAAGAAGGAAGGCACGACTTGTCTGTGACTTTACCTGCTCTCTGTTTTTGTATGGTTTTCCAGCAGCATCTGTTGGGCTGCTCTCAGTCCCACCCAAGAAGAGTAGGTGAGCTCCCAGGTCTCAGCCTGCTGCCCATGGGCTGCCACCCAGACATCTTCAGCTCCCCATCCAGAAACAAAGGCAGTGGTTCTGGATGCTGTTGCCAGGCTTGGCCAGTTCTACCTTCACAGGAATCCCAAAGTTGTTGGATGATCTTCAAAATGTCTACTACTTGGAAGATTACACACATGCTGGGCATAAATCAATATCCATTAGAATACACATTGAACCGCAGTGATGGTTCAGGCCTGTAATTCCTTTGGGAGGCCAAAGCGAGAGGATCAGGATCGCTTGAGCCCAGGAGTTCAAGACCAGCCTGGGACACATAGCAAGATTTCGTCTCTACAAAAAAAAAAAAATCCAAAAAATTAGCCTGGTGTGGTGGCACATGCCTGTAGTCCCAGCTACTCAAGAGGCTGAGGAGGAAGGATAGCTTGAGCCCAGGAGGTTGAGGCCGTGGTGAGCCCTGATCGTGCCACTGCACTCCAGCCTGGGTGACTGAGTGAGACCCTGACTCAACAAAACAAAACACACTTGTTGGAATGAAAGGACTACCGGGATACAGATACTTTAACAAAGATGGAAAACTGATGTACAACACCGGTTTTAGGTTGCTGTCCTCTACCATGTCCTTCAGAAGGAAAATAAAGCTCTGGGGGAAAAATTTTTTTTTTACAAGGAAACGAAATTGGAACTTCCCTGTCTAAATAGCAAAAGGAACTTTTAAAACCATTTATTTCATATTCACAATCATCATATACTGTTTGGATGCTCAAATTCCAGGAGTAACTAGAGGCGTGAATGCTAATATTGGAAAGAGATACTCTTTTTGAAAATGTCCAGTTAGTTAATCATGGCAAAAGGGCTCCCAAACTCATGTCAGTGGACAGGCACCAGTCCACTGCCATAAACTGATTCCTGACCATGACTTTGGGAGGAGAAAGTGACAAGGCACACAAAACTTGAGCCATATAGCAGATTCTTGCAGTCATCCAAATCCTCTGGCCCCATGGATTTTAAATATGACCTATGCAAATAGTCTACCTCATTCATTCTTTCAATAAATTATTACTGAGCACCTTTTATATGCCTGGGGACACCCTGGTGAACAAGACAGGCTCTATTCCCATGGAACTTAATAATGCAGTTTGTAACGAGTTACAAGTAAGATATTAATAATGCCACAAAGGAGATGTGTAGAATGGAAGGGAGCATATACCACTGTGACCCCAGGTAGTCTGGGAGGTTAGGGAAGGCTTCCTGGAGGAAGGGATGTCTAAGTGGGGATCTTAAGGATGCAGAGGTCTTAGCTAAGTGAGGGCAGGGTGGAGGGCCACACCAGTGAGCCAGAGCCTACATAGGAAAGCTCCGTGGGATAGCAGAAGCATGGGATATTGGAGAAGCTGACAGAAGGTCTGCGTGACTAGTGTGCAGAGAGTGGCAGGAATAGGCAATGTGACTGGTATGCAGATCATACTGCCCGTGAATACCATGATGGGATTCTGTAAGTCTATTTGGAACTCAGGAAGCATGGAAGGGCCATCACCATGCCTCCAGAAGCCCCAGCTTTAGAATTCAAACATGGCTAGGCGCAGTGGCTCATGACTGTAATCCCAGCACTTTGAGAGGCCGTGGTGAGAGCACTGCTTGAGCCCAGGAATTAGAGACCAGCCTGGGAAACAAAGTGAGACCCTGTCTCTACAAAAATAAAATCATTAGTCAGGTGTGCTGGTGTGCACCTGTAGTTCCAGCTACATGGGAGGCTGAGGCAGAAGGATCATGTGAGCCCAGGAGGCCAAGGCTGTGGTCTGGGAAACAGAGACCTTGACTCAAAAAAACAAAAAACAAAACCCTCAAACATGCTGGCTAATTATGTGGGCTCATAGACCTAGATATGGAGTTCTTATTGTCCATCTGCACATGCCCACACTGTACTAACCATCCAATTATGGTAAGAAAAGCCAGCCAGGCTGGTCAGTCGAGTAAGGCAGGCAGGACTTGAAAAAGACACATCTGCACTGTCACACATGGCAGGATCATCTGACTCCTAGCTTGAGAATTAAGCCATCAAAATATCAGAGGCTCCTCTGCCACTGCTGGTCTCCTGTCCCAATCTCAGGAAGGCAAAACCAGTAGAGCAGGTACATGTACACCTAGTGTCCATTCAGTAAAACAAACCTCATACACCCCGCCCTGAAACCTCAGGCCTCTGCCTTTGCCCCCTTTGCAATCCATCAACATGAATCCATTCTCACTTAGAAAAGAATGCTTCCATAAACACTCCCTTCTTGCACTGGTCAGTTAATCCATGATGTAGATAACTGTCACAGAACTCCCAAGTGCTTTACCAACAATAACGAAACCCTTCCATGCCCCAGTAAGAAGGCATCTTTTTTTTTTTTGAGTTGGAGTCTCACTCTGTGGCCCAGACTGGAGTGCAGTGGCCGCTCCCGGCCACCGCAGCCTCGATCCGCTGGGCTCCAGCGATCCTTCTGCCTCAGCCTTCCGAGTAGCCGGAATTATAGGCATGCGCTACCATGCCCGGCTAATTTTTTGATTTATTTTAGAGATGAGGTCTCGTCAAGTTGCCCAGGCGGGTCTTGAACCCGTGGGCTCAGGCAATCCACTCACCTCAGCTTCCCAAGGTGCAGGATTACAGGCTGAGCCACCGAGCTTGGCAGAAGGCATCTTTTCACCCTACAGCTGAGAACAAAAGTCAAGCTAAAAGACACGCACAAAGATTTGACTCCAATGTCCAGCGGGGAGGGACCAGGTAGAGCTGCTCACAGGGAACCTCACTAGTCCTTGAGGTGCCTTGGAAATCTGACCAGGGGCACCACTGGCACTACCTGCTCCAGGTTTTCAAATATCATTATTTAAAAATTATTTTCAATTTATTTTAGAGTTGTGGGGTACATGTGAGAATTTGCTACATAGGTAAACTGAGGGCGTGGTTTGGGCTTCTAGTGAGCCCTCTGCTCCCCAGGTAGTGATCACGGTGCCCAGTGGGTGGCTGTGTGCTACCCTTTACCCCTCCCACTTCAGCAGTGCCCAGCATCTGTCGTTCCCACCTCTGTGTCCATGTGTCCAGTTTAGTGCCCACTTACGAGTGGGAATATGTGGCATCCTATCATTCTAAGTGATCTGTCACAGCAACAAAAAACTGAACACTGCTCTAGGTTTTTAACACCAAGGTCTGATTGAGGCTTTCCTCTTTTCCTCATGCTCTATTCCTTCAGAAGACTTCTAGAAACTGGAGGCAAAGGATTTAGCTAAGAGTAAGGCCCCTTAGGTCTAATTTCGCCTGGGAGGCTGTAGAACAGTAGCCTATCCTTGAGTCAGTCATTGACTATGAAGAGAAAACAACAGTATTACAAGACAGTACCAGTACTCTCTCCCGCCTCCACTGCCCCACTGTCAAACACCCCATTGTTAAGTCAGCACACACTCAAAAGGAAAGGAAAGTTAGGGAAACCACCTTTTCTTAAGAAAAATTCTGCCCCCCAAGTGAATTTTATCATTTTTGACAATTCAACTCAATGAGAATAATCCACTAGCCCTCATCAGACCCTCACATTCTAGTTTCTTTGGAATCAAAAGGGTTTGTCTAGTCTGTGTGGTGTCACTGGAACTGCCACTTGGGGAAGATAGGTCTCACCCTACACAGACATACGCAGGGCAGTATGGAAGTGGCTAAGAACCAGATGCTGGGGTCAGGTTTCCCAAGCTCTGTCATTTATTAGCTGAGAGATGGGCAAGGTTCTTAACCTCAGCTTACCAGTAAAATGGAGATAACTTGGGGTGAGGAGAACAATAGGAAACCTCCCCCAATGGCAACTATGACTATTGCTCCCCTAGAAGTTGTCTCCAGAGGGCACGTTCTACCCTTGTAAAACAGGCAGGGTCAAAAACACTGCCCCCACATCCCAGAGCTATTGCCAAGTCACAGCTCTGTCCCAGGAAGATCATTTACATGAGTTCATGAAGAAATTGTCATTGCCCCTTTGTTGGGGTTGCTTTTTATTTTTAAAGATAATGTTAAGAGCCTTGAAATAAGACAAAGGAAAAACAAGTACCAGAATTGCAAAGTTATCATTTTTATTGAACTGAATTGGTGTGGGAACAGGGGCCACCACAGCTGCTGAGCTCAGGAACAACTGAAAAGCCCCTGTGACATTTTACCTTCGAGGGTCCTAACATGGTTTGGGTGGAACAGCTGAGAAACAGCATAGATATATCTATATATTTATTTAACACTTGAAAATAGTTTAAAATGAGCCTCACAGCCTCGTTCCATTTTCAGGTTACAAATAACATTGGTAACATCTTCTGTGGCCTTCATTAGTAGTGCCAGTTAATATCCTTTCCCAAGACATTCCTTTCAAAGTGCTGGCTATAATTTTTCCCCATCCAGCACACACACACAAAGAATTTAGTAACACTCAGGCAGGTAATAAACTGTAGCACTTCAAAAGTAGTAATAAGGCATATACCACGCACACGGGACTCCACACTCACACTGACAGAAGGATTAACGCCTGGCTGAAGAGGTCCAGCCATGTTCCAGAAGCCAAGATACACTAAGGGAAGGAAAGGGCAAGACATCCAGCAGAGTGTCTGACCAGATGGGCCATTTCAGTCTAAACCTCATTCCAACATCTTGCTTCCAAGTGTGCATTTGTTTTCATTATAAGGCGAAACACTTGCAGGGAAAAGAAAACTATAAAGATTATAAGGAGAGGGAAGAAAATTATTACTTCATTTTTATAATAAATGCATGGAGTAATGATCTGAACTGACCACACCAGTTTTGTGAGAGCCAAGTATTAAACATCCATGGCTACTTAAATAGTTGAAAGTTAACCCCTCTAACATATTCCAAGAGGAAAAAATAACCAACAAGGTAGGAGACGAAATCCCCACTGTTTTTTTTTTTTTTTTTACAAAGCCCATGTCTAGTTCATGTTCTCTTGGTTTGTTTCAAATCAGCTACTCATCCAATTTGGAGTTGACTTTAATGGTGTTAGTATCTTCAAGAGTCTTTTCAATTATTTTAGATACAATGTGATGGAAAAAATATTACAACTTACTCTCTAACATACTCACTGTCTTTCCAAAAACAAGACTAATCAAATTCTTTCACCAGAGTAACCAATACTAAATGGCCACCTAAACCCTGCAGCAGTCATTTGTAAGAATCCCATCTTGCAGTTGGGGATGAAAAATAATTCTAGATATTTTAATAGGCCCAAGTTCATCTTCAAAAATGAATGCCACCTCGTGTTATAGCAGATTGAGAGACTGACAATTCTCAGATTTGCAACTAATAGATGCACATTTTGCAAGGACCTGTCCAATGGATAAAACAAACATCTAAATTAAGGCTTTGACTGGCAAGTGGCCAAGTCGAAGGGTGTGCAAGGCTACATTTCCATTAAGCATCTCCGGTTTCTACTGTCACCCAACTGGTCAACCAGAAGACATGCGATGAGGGGAGGTGCTCCATCAGCGAGCAGCTCCCAGCTGGAAGGCTTGTGTGTAAACAGGTTCTGAGTAAGAGCTGGCAGTGAGACAACTGAGGGGACCTCTGATCATGCAGAGGAAGAAAGCCATTTGCACTGCTGACACAGTGGGCTTTCAACAAAGCCAACAGTTGGCCTTCAGTTCAAGATTCCAAGACTTTGTGACCTAACAGGTGGAGACTACATATAAACCAATGGTTCTCACACTTTAGCTCGTTTGTACAGAAAACCTGGACAAACGCAGAGACTTGGGGCCTAGACCCAGAAGATCTAATTTGGGAGATGCAAATGGTCCAAGCACTTTGCTTCTGAGAAACATGGCTCACAGCAAACAGTTACACATAGTCTTTGATTAAAAGGTCAAGATGTCCAAGAAATAACACCAATGAGGTCAATCCCTAGAGACAAACCCCTCAGGAGTCTCCACCATAACATGAGGCCTCAATTTATCCCCAATTAAGTTTTCTTTCCTTTTTTTCAATTTGAAATAAATTAGCATCTAATAATGATTGTACCAATTCTGAGGTAAAAGGAAGAGCACCAGGGATCTCAATGCTAAAAGAAACAATTCCCTAGGAGGTCCACGCTACATAGAAATCAGATTTCTGCAGTAATCCTACAGAGTTATAGTACAGAGGGTCTTGTTTCTTTGTAGAGTCTGTACACTTTTAATGTAGTATCTGATCATTCTAGTTCATGTTTTAGAAGAACTCCAAAGAGAAAAGGTTAATCTATATGCTCTCTCACGTTTTCTAGATACCAACATTTTCAGGTTTACAGTGATACACAACAAAATTATTTATTATTTCTCTGGATGCTGGAGACAAACATCTTTATTAAAGACACTACCAACATTTTGGCAAACATTTCAAAACAGATTTGTAAACATAATGCTTCCCTTTTCAACTGGCAGCACTTTGAAAAGACAATACAATAAGACGATACAACTTGAATCAACATTAGTTCAAAATCCTTATATTTTTGACCACATAACTTAGGTTCCCACATGATAAAACAAGTGATAGTTTAAATCAACGTCAACAGAGAAACTCCATGAAATGAAAGTTTGTGCTGTTTGATGAATCACAGTATGTTATGGTTAAATATATCCACTCTTTTTTATATTCCTGGCACCCAGGATGAAAAAAAAATCTTTAAATATACATCTTATGTAGGTAATAGCTTCTTTGCATATCTCTCTTCAAAAAATACTTTATAGCAGTATATAAATAGGTTACCTACACATTTTATAATTTTGCCCCCAAAACTATAGATCTGTTTCATTTTTATAACATATCAATTTTTGCCCAACATTAATAAAGCTGACAAACTGTTGAAATGGAAATGCTTGTGTCTTCCACAATAGAAGTAGCAACTTGACAGAAAAAAAACCCTACAGTAACACTCGTCAGTTGTTGAACCTGAGCGTTTGGCCTACTGAGAGTAGCAGCTTTGTTCCTTCATGCACGCTCACATCCACACCACCTCTGCACACACGCAGGCCGAGCACACACTTCCAGACGCTGGTAGGCCACAGTGTGCTTCCCGCTGCCGGAACCCAGTGGGAAGCAGTGTAGCTAATGATGAACCACACTATGTACACAACTAGCAAACACCTTAAGGCAACCATTGCAATGGGGGGTTAACTTGCAGGGCGGATTTAATGTTTTAGACCAAGTCAGCTTTTACGTACATATGTGTATGTGAATCTGTACACATACATACTCATATACCTTTCTGTTTTTTAACCCTCCAAGACAATGTTTTAATTTTTTTTTTGTATTTTGTGCAAATTTCTAAATAGTCTACCATTTAAGGCAAAGAGTTCGCATTAAGAAAGGTCAGAAAATAGGCTTATGTTTATCCAAAAGCATTTCACCTTGCACATTACTGTTGTGGTTTTTTGTTTGTTTTAAATACACACAACTTTTAAGTGTGGATACTGGATCCCCAATATCTAAAAAAATCATTTCTAATGACAAACACAAGTTTTGAGGGGGGGGAAAAACTGATTTAAAGTATAGACACTGGATTCCCAATACCTAAAAAATTATTTCTATTAACAAACACAAGTCTTGAAGGAGGGAAAAAAAAGGACCAGAAAAAGCAGCTTCAAAATGCAGGGAAGCAAAGTAAAATGAAAAAAAATAAAAAATAAAAAATAACTCAAGTTTACTAATACTGAAACTTCCAACAGGCAAAGTTTCATCTTTTGAGAATCTAGAACAACTCATTTGGACTTTCAAATAAATAAGTTTAAGTTTATTCACATCTTCTGGTCCAAGCAGAGCTCTAGTGCCACGACTCTGCCTGCTGTTGGTCAAATTCACCTATGAGTCTTTTGATGTGAGCCAGCTTGTTGTGAAGATATTCGCATCTGTATTTTTCTTCATGGTAATTGGGACTAGACTGTCAAGGAAAGGAAAAACAGTGAGGAATTAAGATGCAGAATTTACGACACTTCTCAGCTACAGGTGAGGACACCAACAGTGATGACACCCACCTGCTTTATCTTCTGATATTCTTGTAAGACTGCTTCATGAACATTCTACAAAATTAAAAATGAGAAATCAGAAGAGAACAGCTTTTCCTTTTCTTGGCAATACAAATAGCCAACATGCATTCAGCAAGAATTTAGGAAATATTGATGGTGGGAGTGTAACTTGGTACAATCTCTACGGAAGGCAATTTGGCAACAGCTATTGAAACAGCAAATGCAAAATTGACTCAGCAATTCCACTATCCTACAGATATACTTGCCCTGAGTGAAATGACGCACATACAAGGTTACTCACTGCAGCACTGTTTGTAAAGCAAAAGACAGTCAACAAAATTGAAATGTTCATCAATCTATATAAAGGAGACTAAGAGACCATTAAAATCTGGAGACACACTTTATGTACTGAGGGAAAAAAATTAGCTAAGATGCATTTTATTGTTTAGTAAATACAGCAAAGTGCAGAACAATCTGGGCAGTTGGATACCATTTATTTAAAATAGAGAAAGAGAACAGTATTCTATTCCAAAAATTCATTACTCGTAAAATGCTCGTTACTTCTAATTTTAATGGAAGCAGGATAAACAATAATGTAACATAGTTTAAGTTACTAGGACATAAGACGATGGTGCATTTTACAACTGAAGAAACCTTGGATTCAATTAAATATGGTGGATATGTAAGTTTGTGTGTGTGAGTATGTATTTCATACATGCACATGCCATACTTCTGAAAGAGTACACTGGAAACCAGTAATGGTAATTGCCTTGCCGGTATGGCAGGAGGGGTGTGGGAGAGCAGGTGGCTGGGGAAGAAAAGGCTAGCTTTATGTACTAAGTACCAGGCATGGATCTAAGCAGTTTACAAATACCTCCTGACATTTATTCCTCACAACAACTCTAAGATTATCCCATTTTATGGATGGGGAAGTTGAGGCAAAGAGGCACTACGTAACTTGCCCAAGGCCACACAAATATTAAATGGTTGAGCTGGGAATCAGCCCAGGCAATGAGGCTCCAGAGTCCCCTCCTAACTATGAAGCAATCCTTGGAACTGCATTTCAATTTGAATAGTCGTGTACACAAAGAACTATAAGGAATAAAATAATCCCCAAATGTCCATGTTTCCAAACTCTGGCACCTTAGCCATGGATTCCCTTGGCAAAGTTTTCTCTAACTCTCACCAGCTTGTTGAAAAGCTCAAGGCCACTAACTGAAGACATAAGGAGTCTCCAAGGTGCAAATGCTCAGGCTGCTTGTCTTATTGGGGGGACTCATCCCTTCTCTCCTGGAGGCTCAGTCAGAACAGGGGTAGTGGGCTGGGACAAAGGTACCATGCCACCTATGGCTGTGAAGTGTGACAAGTTATCTGGCCTACACAGGAGGGAAACACTTATTTAAATCATTTTGTTAAGAACTATGAAAAAAAAATCAGGAGACAGGTCAGGCACCCCCCATTGTATGCTGGCAGCAGTAGTGTCACCACTTCAGGGAGGACAGTGGAAACAGATGAATGCTGGTGACCAAAGTTCAGTCTCTGGATCAGCTAGAAGCACCAAACTTCTTTCTTTAAATTCCTCATCTCTGTGGTATCAAGCCCCCTTTAAATTCTATGTCTGTCTGTCTCTCTCTCCCCACAATATATATCCCACTTAGCATATAGTATGTATATATCTATATTTCTATATCAAATAGGGGTTTTTCTTTAAAATGAAAAACAATTTCCTTGAAATGCACAATCTTGCAGGGAGAAACACCAGACCTGGGAGCTACAGTTTGAATTAGCAGTGTAATTAATCCAATATTCAACTAACTCTGAAGATCTACCTTTTTCTATTTAGCTGTGTTTGATATTTTTCCCAACACATTCTATATTATGTTATGTGACACAAAGGTTTTTCCACTGGTGGGAAAACAGATTCACTGTGTTAATTTATGTCCAAGAACTATTTCAAATATTGAATTTCTAGGGCAGCAGAGGGGCTGGTCAGTGAGAGGACTCGCTTGAGGCCAGTGGGATGGGTGGGGTTGGGAAGGGAAAGAAAGAAAGAAGTTAAAGTATGAAGTCGGTCCATCTGGAACAGATCCATTTACCTGATACTCTTTTGAGCCTGGAGAAAGGCGCTTTCGCTGAGCATCGAGCTTGATGAATCTCCTTGCTACAGTCTCCATTCTGGCATGCAGGGCTCTGTACTCATCATACTCGGCATTGAAATCATCCTTGTAATTCTGGCGTTGCTCATAGGAGACGATAGCGATGTATTTTCTAATAGGTACAAAAGAAAAAAGAGAAATGGAGAGTAGCTACACAATGAACATGACCACACAAATTAGAGATCTAACCCAAATGCTCAGAAGCTGTATCCATGCAAGCATCATAGAATTTAAGGCCACTCTGCCATTAGTTTGCTGTCAGGCCACTCCTTCAAACACCTTCCAGGTGAAATGATCACACAGGAGGGCTTAAGAACGTCAACGAAGAAGAGCAAATGGGAAAAAGACACGGTGGCAATGAAACTACAGTACAAATATGTAAGAAAAAAACAATATTTAGGATGCATTGCAGTGGTTCACTCCTGTAATCCCAGAACTTTGGGAGGTTGAGGTAGGAGAACTGCTTGAGGCCAGGAGTTCAAGACCAGCCCAGGCAGCATACCGAGGCCTTGCTTCTACAAAAAATAAAAAAATTAGCCAGGTGAGGAGTGTATGCCTGTAGTTCCAGCTACTTAGGAGGCTGAGATGGGAGAACTGCCTGAGCCCAGGAGGTTGAGGCTGCAGTGAGTTGTGATTGTGCCACTGCACTCCAGCCGAGGTGACAGAGTGATACTTCAACTCAATCAATCAATCAATCAATCAATCAATCAATCAGTACTAGCTCCCTGAACCTTAAATAAACAAATAATACAGTTTTGGTTTCCTGAACCATAAATACTCTATCTGAAATAATTCACTACCACAGTAATGGCAGAAGCCAACCCATTGTGTCACAAGTCACAGAGTGCTAAAGTCAAAGTTCTCTCTGGCCCACCACCGCTTTAGAGAGGCTATCTACTGGCCTTTCAGACATGCTGCGTGCAGAAATCTCTTCAACAAGGGACCTCATACTTACTCCCTCTGTCTCTTTCCTCAAATTTCTGACTAGGCAAATATATAAAATACAAAAGGAAATTGTGTATCATCTTTTAAAATGAGAGTTAAAAAGGCATGTTTCTCTAGTACTTTCCAAATGTTTAAATGTCATACTATATTGAACAGGAAGCCAGTGTTGTACTGAGTCTAATTTGTTTTCTTAGGAAAATGCCACAAACCTGTATTTTACTTTGGGGGGTGAATACCCAAGGGTCCTGGCAAGAGAAGGGTCATTTTCCGAGAGCGCCAGTTTATTCAGTGGTAAGTAAATTAAAACACCATTTCAATATTAAAACACATTTAAGGTTATTTGGTTGTGGATCTGGGAACTGGGGGCCCATCAGGCTGTGGCTTGCTTCCTTGCTTCTCTCATGGAATGCAACATTCTCTTGAGTTTGTGAGATAAAAATGAAGATTTCAAAGCAATTTCAGGCAGGTGGCATGGGCTTCACAGTGCTCCTGGGGAGACGCACGTATTCTTCACTAGTAAAATCTTGGAATTCAGGTGTTTCCAAATGGTTTTTCCTAATCTTCTCAGTTTTATATAAATTGCTCCATCGCAGATGCAGAGCAGGTAATGTGAGAAAAGTGATGTAGTGGGCAAACCTAGTGTCCTCATTAATATTTTTATTCTTGCTGACTTAGACAGTGTGGAGGTTTAATTTTCTAAGTGTAATTGAGACAACAATGACCTGCTGCTGTGAAGCTGCCCTCCCAGTGCTTTAGTTGTAAAAGGAACACTGCAGCCTCATGGGGAAGCAGAGGCCCTCCTGGACACCGGCTGTCCTGACCACACACCAGGGGGAGCCCACAGTCAAAGGCAGCCCCTAGGCAACAGCACACATCAGCAAAATGGCTAACCCATCTGGAAACTCACACTTCATTTGCTTTAGAATATACCCTGCTTCCTCAAAATCACACTCTTGGTGTTTTACTTAATAATCTTCCTGAGGGAAAATACCCAACTGAGCAACAATTGTGTTGCTGTTATAGAAGAGGAGAGACATTTTTAACCAAAAGCATTTCACTATTTCTAGCAAAAATGGCTATGGTGCTACCATTGGTACTTAATGCAGTGATGGGAAAGCATTTAAACAGTTTGGATAACTCAAAACCACAAGTAACAAAAGCATTATAAAAGAACTAGAAATAGAGTGCCAAGTACAGATTATTCAAAGGCTGATCATTTAGATTTTACAGTATGTCCTTTGGTTTTCCTATGAGGCAATTTAAAAATCTGTATTTCATGGTTTCTCACCATTTTTAGAAAATTTGCTGCATTTATGTAAGACTTAGTTTTTTGTTTGAGTCAGAGTCTCACTCTGTTGCCCAGGCTCGAGTGCAGTGGTACACTAATGGCCACTGCAGCCTTGACCTGCTAGGCTCAGGTGATACTTCCACCTCAGCCTTCCAAGTAGCTGGAACCACAGGCATGTGCCACCACACCCAGCTAATTTTTTTTATTTATTGTAGAGGTAAGGTCTTGCCAAGTTGCCCAGGCTGGTCTTGAACTCTTGGATTCGGGCAATCCTCTCACCTCGGCTTTCCAAAGTGCTGGGATTACAGGTGTGAGCCACTGCTCCCAGCTAAGATTTAGTTTTTAGTTAAAAGAAATTGCTTTTGCCTAAATAAATTAAGCAAACAATCATATAGTCCTGGAAACGTGACAACATACAGGAACACTGAAGCAGACCCAGCAACCATCCTTAGATAAGTAACCTAAAAAAACCTCTAAAATATGGAATGAACTAATAAAGTAGGGAAAACACAGCAACAGCCTTGAAACCTTGGGAAAAAATCTGGCATTATCTCTTAGTCTCCCTAAGAGACTTTGTCATACATAGCAAGTATATGTCACTATTACAACAAAGAGGAATTCAAAACTCATCATGAGAGAATGAGAGCACTGCACTGGCAGCTGATACTTGAGAGGGCAGCTTCCAGGAGATTTTTTAGAAGTGGTTTGCACGTGAGAGGTACACCAGTTCCGTATGGAGCCAGGGGTTGTCCTGGAGCCCGGATGCAGACAATTGGCCTTCTTAGGCCAAGTTGGTGGCAGCTGCCTTTCAAGGCTCCCCACCCTCAGGTGAGAGGACACCAGCGTGGCTTCTCAGGCTCCTGTTAGTTAAGAAATGATAACCAGCATGAGGGGTACATGCGGTATCACTCCTCTAAGTACAGCTTTCACTTCACCGTTAAACAGAAGCAACACATCTGATATCTGAAATGTGCTCTACTGTGGAAATAAGCAAGGCAAGCAGCACAGTTTAACTCATTCACCATGAGAAGCGACTAACAGAAAATAAAACTCTTCAGACAGCCCGGACTCCATGTACCGTTCCCCACTCTGGCTGCTTGGCACACGTGCTCATTTCCAGAGCACTCTGTAGTCAGATCTGTTTGTGCTTTCACTCTCCACTCTTACAGGCTCTCACAACTTAATTATTTTCTTCTTACAGAAGTCTTTTATTCTGTAAAAAAGCTAGAATTATGTGTCCAAGTTATAATTTCTGTGATAACCAGTTACAAAAATGTCTCTAGCTCAGCATTTAGCAACTTGTTTTAACAGGAAAAACATTATAACCAGCACTAAAACGAAATGATCAAATTTTACTATTCTCTTCTCTGAAAACTAATTTGAGGGCAGAACGTTACTTAAATAAAAATCAATCCATCTCTGCTTTGTATTATTAAGTGCAGAGGTTCAAGCACTTTGTCAGTAATAAAACGTCCCTTTGGGGGGCCCAAGTGAACGACTGTGCATTGATAGACTGTCAGCTTTGAAGAGTCAGATCCCTGAAATCTTCCATAATCAGATGCTTGGCCTGGCCCCGGAACAAAGGACAGGCCTCTCTATACTTAAGGGCCAACGAACACGGCTCAGAGCAAGGGGAGGCACAACCTGCTCTCATGCAGACAAGGGTGGATTTGGGACAAGCAGGCTTAAATGGCAGCCTTTCAATTGCAGGGGTGGCTCCAGGACTCTATTTCTGGAGCTTCTTACTTTTCTGATTTGCAAATTATGGGAAAAGAATTTGCAAACTTTCTAAATTTAAATAGCTGTCTCCATTGGCAGACATAGGGACTTACATCAAATAATCTGGGAGTTCAATCGCTGGAGGCTCTGTGGAGGCAGTGCAGCTCTCTTGAACTCCTACGAAGAAATAAAATTCAGAGCGTTCATCAACCAGTAAGGTTATCAAATGCCTGTAATTCTAAAATAGATTAGAAACATCTGGAACACTTTTCCTCAAATTCTATTCTTCCATCTCAATAAGCAACAGTGAGCAAGGAATACAATTGAACACGAACAATAGTGGCCCTATGACCAGCGCCAGCAGAACCGACGCCAGGCATTTAAAGCACCCTGGCTACTGCAGTGTCTGCACAATAGAGGAATTCCATCTTAACCCAAGGTCAATCTTCTATTCTTTCAACAACAGTTGTGGCATCTGCCCAGCAATTCAAAGACTGTGGTGGCAGATGCAGCCAGACAATGGGAGAAACAAATTTTACATCAACATCCACTTTTCATGGGATTCAAACAAGGCAGATGAGACAATAAAGTCAGGTAGCAGACTGCTGTGGTCACTGTATTTTTACTGCCTCCCTTTTTTTGTATGCAGACAGTGGAATTGGGTAGGAAGTTTTCCCACTGATTTAAAGTAATTTAAAATAGGGTATTATTGAATGTTGATGCATACTCCTCTAATCTCTAGCCCTCATAATACTAGGCAGATTTTTTTTTTTTTTTAGGACCAAACAAGTGCCAGTCATTCAGGCTACTCTGTGAAAGTGAGTAAATCCCTTAGAATTCCCTTTCCTTATATGCACCATTTCCAGAGGCTATATTTAGACTTTTTACTAGTGTAATTTTTTTTTATAACAAAGTAGAGTTAAACTGATAACTCAAACCCTAACCATGCCCATTGACAAAACATATAAAAGTGAACAGGCTCTGTGGACATACTGTTTGCTTATATTAGATACATTGATTCAGGCTTGGGTCAAAGGATATGTTTCTAAAACAGCCTGAGTCTTTTGAAAAGTCATCAAGTAGAGGTCACCTGCCACAGACACCAGGTAAGTTCCAAAGACGCAGAAGGTGTGGGACTGGGTCTGAAAGGTACTACATCCTCAGCAAAGGATTCAAAGAGACTAGGTCTGTTTCTCCATGTCTCCAACGTGGAGAACACTTGAAACTCTGCTGTGAGGCTCATATATTAAAATCCAGCCCCTCATTCAGTCACCATCCGAGGGTGGAGAGCATGGCTTATTCACTTTGAACATGGAGTCTGACTTCTTGTCTTTTCCTGAACTGACAAATTCAAATGCAAGAGTGTTGCAGGAAAAAGCTTACACCTACGTCTTGAGCCATTATGTAGTTTTATAGTGATCGAAATATTTCAACAGACATGCTGTGACATGCAATATACCCAACCCAGGTCAATAAAAGGCACTGTATCATATTATTCTACAACTCCTTCTTTGGAAGCACCTCAAAAAAAAAACAATCAAAGCTTCTCGTGAATGGCAAAAATGGTCAGTTAAATGTAAGGATGACAGACTTTCAGTGTTAGGAACAAAATACAAAAAGACAACACTCTTTTAAAACTCAACTCATTAAATTTGAAGCCTGTATTTCTGGTTTGATAACTGGCAGCAACACCGAATGATGGACTTGGCTTGGCTCTCCTATGTGCTCAAAAGCAAAACATCAATTTTTTTTCTTTAAATAAGAAAAACCTAATATTTTCATTAGTTTTTAATGTTTAGTGCACCACATATAAGCAGTCTGTCTACTAATTAGCTTTTCTCTAGAGGTAAAGTATTATTTTCAGCTTCTTTGGTTCTCTATAAATTTGGCTTCTAAGCCTCCTAAGCCTAAAATGGTTAACTTTACAAATAACAATTGATGTCAGTTACTAAAACAGGACTCTTAAAACTGGGGGAAAAAGACCAAAAACATTAAGACCTATTAAGCTAATAATAGCTAACAGCCTTGCAAAAGACAAATTGCATTCATTCCAAATAAAGTTGATATTATGGATCTGCAAATGTAATTTTACCTTGCCTGTTTTTAAAAAACTTTTGACATTTCCCCTGTGCCAATATTAATTAAAGAAGAGGTGACCTGTTTCTTTGGGAAAAAAGGAAATGAATATTTTTATTGCTAATTATGTATCTGGTTAAGTCAGTTCAAGAATGGCATACAAAAGGTCACGCTGAGGTTGCACAATATCATAACAGATATGGAAAAGAATGTCAAAGTCCACCTTCCAAAAGGAACTCTCTGAAGGATGACAGGGTCATTTTTAAATGTCACTATCTTATTAACAAATATAGAAACAATGCTTAATAGCTGGTTAAAAAGAGGCTGAAAACAACGGTTGTAAAGTGAAAAAAAATCGCTCAAAAACACAACACTAAGATTAACAATTAAATGGAAAGTCATTTGCTAAGAAAGCACTACTAATTATAAACTGTATGATCTCAGACTCATGATAGCATGCTCTTCTGGCTCATCTAACACATGTAGTCAGTATTTTCACAAAGGTAAAATACCTCCACTGGAATTAGGACTGGAGTTATTTAGCTTGGCAATTTCCTCTTCTTGCTTAAGGTCCTCTTCCTTTTCCTCAATAGTCTCAATGCCATGCTTTTTTATTTGGTCCTTTTCCTTGTGTTTTTTAGACTTCTTTTTGGACTTTTTGTGAGACATCGAATGGTTTTCTTCCATAGGTTTTGGACACTTTAGCAGAACTGAACCAGGGGCTAAGGTTTCCAGAGAAGTCCTAGAGGTATATTTGTCTTGCTGGTCCTCAAAGATGCTACCATCTTGACTAAAACTGTCAACAGGTAGGTCTTGAGTCCCCCGGCCTTCTGGAGTGCTAGGGGAATTGGAGTTAGAATTGACGATCTGAGGAGGCTGAGAGACGGGCAGATGGGTTGACGGCAGTGGTGGAGGGGTGGGGATGGCGGCGGCTGCAGGGGGCAGTGGGAGGCCTGCGGCAGATTTCTCACTGGTGGGATTCAAGTGACCATTTAGTGTTGGTGGAACTCTGTTCGTCAGGTGAGATATTCGGGCTTTCTTATTCATTAAAGGATCAATAAAATCTGAGTCCAAAAGCCGCTTCTGGAGAAGAGAAAGGAAAAAAGTTAGCCAGTTTGCACTAAAATTCAGTACATGTATGACTGATTCAACAACTGATTAACCTTACTCGTAGTTAAGTCTATTACTAGGGTTGTGTTAACCTTTCTCCATGCTTAAGCAAAAACACAAAAATCCAAACCCAGAACTAACAAAACCAAATCAAAACAACAACCAAACCAAACCAAAAGTTATTATTATTTCCATGTCTAATGTCAAAAAGCAGAATCTGGCAAATCCATGTTTTTTTAGAGTACTTATTCTCTTCTTTCTGATCACAGCCTCACTCTACATTCCTAGAGAGAACATGCTGATTTATGTGGACTGTACCACTCAGGAAAGTATTAAACAGAGGCAGCCATCCTCCACTGCTGACCATGGTTGATGTAGTTATATGAAATGAGAGGAGAAAGCAACTGGTACCATTTGACTCTGTGAGAGCTAACATGGTTTGGTAAAGGGCAATGAGCCTACATTTATTTTCAACTGATAGGTTAAAATGCTCCAGTTATGTAGAGTTTGGCTCTCAATTTTCATTCCAACAGGCTTGGAGTGGGAACAGCCAGCACTTTAGAGTAGTTTCTCTATCATTGTTGAAATGCTATTTAATTTTTTTTACCCATATATATCTTTTCACCAGATTAGAAGAAAAATCTTAGTAACTGGTCCATTAAAATAATGTGAAGGTACTTAAAAAAAGAAAATCATGCTAATATTAGCCCAATCAAACAACAATAGTGTTTAAGTTAAAAAAGGAAATTTAGACTGTTGAGAAGTACAGTACACAAACCATATTTATGTTTAAATGCAATACTACAGCTTGTATTTTAGCTTGAAAGAAAATAGTAGCTAACCCATTATTTTATTCTTATTCTGTTTTCAATATAACACCATTTATTTGGTACCCAGTATATAATCTGATCACAGCAGAAGTAGTTTCGTAAGAGTTGGCATTAAGAGCAAGGCTTCCATTGACATTGTACATGCAAGGACTTTTTTTTTTTTTTTTAACTCCCCCTCTGTTTCTCACAATAGGCTTCTAACATTTCTGACATGTGAGGAGTATTTTGCCCAGGGCATGCTTACTGTTCTCCACACATCTGTCTGCTTCTCCCTAATTCCTGGGTGTAGGGACCATAGAGGGAGAGAGAGGATACTGTGTCAGCAGCACTGGGGTAGGGAGGTCTGTCCCACAGTTCACCCAAAGCACCCAGATGCTGAGAGTTGAGGCCAGCCAGACAGCTGAGAACCAGGCAGACTTGAACTCTAGTACTGTCCAGGACCTTTCCACCTTGGCCCAGTATGGACTGAATCTTAGGGAAACTAAGCTGGAGAGAATTCTGGGAATATTTTGATAAGGATCCAGTGGAAAAGGGCTTTAAGAAAACACATGAAAATGTAATGACATTTTATTTGCTTATTGCAAACCTATTTTTCCCCAAGAATACTTTTCTGAAACATTTTCAGACAAAATTAAATAGCTTCAATTTTCCATGTAATCTGAGAATTGTATGGGATTGGATTAGTCTTCTAGTTAGTAAGGACCAAATTGAAAAGTAGATAATCTTACAACAAAATGTACACTTTCAAAATAGAAAGCAAGGTACACATTCAGTACTCTGAACAAGCAGTGCTGTGTAGCGGACAGGGTCCTGGGCGGGAGCCGAGACTGAAATTCTAGGCTGAGCTTGGCCATACCAGCTACGTAGCTCCTCTGGGCCTCATCTCCCTCACACATCAGAGGGCCTGACTAGCTGACCCCTAAGGTCTATGTCAGGTCTATGATTCTATAACTTTATGAAATACCTGAGGAGAAGATACAGCGTCTCTACTAGAGCATACAGGAGATTCTGAGCGGCTGGTGCCTGCAGCGTTCTGAGATGGATTTAATTTTCTGTAAAGGACACACATGTTACATGTTAGAGAGAATTAAAAAGTGCTCATGATGGAAAGCTCACCCTTGTTTCTCTTTCCCACCTTAATGCTAAATAATCATCCACTTGCATCCTTTTTAAAAAAGAAAAAGAGAAAAAGAAAAAAAGAGAACTTACCTCGAGAGCACTGACTCCAATGACCGTCTGTCTGTTTCACTGTATCCAGGCCAGTCTCTCTGAAGCTCTTTAAAAACATAATTCTTTAAGGTATAAGAGAGATCCTTAGGATTCAGATTGGCTACCTGGAATATGGTGCAAAAACAGAGCATTAGATACCTTTGCTACCTCCTCACCTAATACAGGTGACCTTTAGAATTTATACTGAAAATCACACCCATTGGCCCCAAAGGGGCTGCTAATTTTATACAAGCCAGATTTCAATAAATGCTAAAACATCATTTAGGGAATTCAAACTTTATATACATAGCTCAATATTTTTCCCTGAATGGCCACTGCAGCTGTCATATTTCTAATCAAATAGTGTGCCTACATTAGGAAAATGTGGAGGAAGATTTTTTTTTTTTTAATCAATTTTTTAGTTAAAGGAATTTCAAACAGATATACAGTAAGTAGCTCTTCTTCTCCTCGGGGGATACAATCCAAGACCCTGAGTGGATTCCTGAAACCACAGAGTACCAAATCTTATAGTTACTTTCCCCCCACATATACATATTATGATAATTTAGTTTATAAATTAGATAATTTATAAAATTAGTAAGAGATTAGCAACAATAATAATAAAATAGGACAATTATTAACATCATGCTAGCATCACTACTCTTGTGCTTTGGGGCCATTATTAAGTAAAATAAGGGTTCCTTGAACACAAGCACTGCAGTACCACAACAATCATCTGACAACCTATACGGCTCTTAAGTGACAAACAAGTAAGGAACTCACGACATGCTAGATAAAGGAATGATTCGGGAGACAGAGCAGGGGGTACAAGATTTCATCACACTACTCAGAATGGCATGCTACTTAAAACTCATATAAATTGTTTACTTCTCAATTTTCCTTTTAATATTTTTGTACCATGGCTGACTACAGTAAACTGAAACCCCAGGAAGTAAAACCTCAATAAACGGAAACTACTGTATTAACCAACATCTTTATTTACTTCTGGTCATCAAAACCAATACTTGCGTCACAGTAAAAATTCTTGATCACTTGTATTAAGTAGAAACTAAACAGTTCCCAACTGTTGGTTTACACACTTTTGTTGGACATCAATAAAAATTGACTTCAAAAACAGAATCAATTCTGATAACCTTGTCTGCCATATTTTGGATAACCAAGTTTGCTCTGCCAGTTCTCCCAAAGAACCACTTATTTAAAGTCCTTGAAATTCCCTAAAACCAATAGATAGAAACATAAACCCCAGGAACTCCAAATTACTATTATTAGTCAGCTAGTTTATTCCCAGTGTAATTTTGTCTTATCCTTTAACTACAATTCCTATAGTGTTCAGGCTTACATAAATTATGGGTTCACGTGCCAAACCAAAAGTAATTTTTAAGGCTAGGAGAAAGGTATTCTTGTTTGTCACTTCCTACAGGAATGGTCTTTTTTTTTTGAGTTGGAGTCTCACTCCTTTGCCTAGGCTGGAGTGCAGTGGCACGCACGCTCATGGCCACTCCAGCATCGACCTTTTGGGCTCCAGCGATCTTTCTGCCTCAGTCTTCCGAGTAGCCAGAACTACAGATGTGTGCTACACCTAGCTATTCATTTTATTTTATTGTAGAGACGATGTCTTGCCAAGTTGCCCAGGCTGGTCTTGAACCCGTGGGCTCAGGCAATCCATTCACCTCAGCTTCCCAAAGTGCTGGGATTACAGGCTGAGCCACCAAGCCCGGCCAGGAATCGTCTTTTTAATAATTTGACTTTTTTCCTGCATCTTTTTAAAGTACTATCCAATATAATATGATATGACTCTCTCACAGTTCAGTTGAACACTTATCTCACATTAATGTTCTTATAAAACAGAAAATAGTAGGCTTAACTTGAAATTCAAATTTGCAAATAAATTAAAATAGGATACAACCAGATTTCTTGAGGTGGAATAAATAAGTGATTCTTCCATTTTCTATTATCCCTACCCTACAAACACCAGTACCCACTCCATAGTAATCTCTTTTCTGACTTCTCTAATAGGATGGTTCCTCCTTCTTCTCCCTCAGGTCTTTTGTTTCTTAAGTCTTCTCTGCTCATGCCTCCATGTGCCAGAGTGGTCAGGGCCTGTCTTATGCCCTGTTTTCTTCATTTTCCTCATTTAATCCTAAAATGACTTCATTCTGCTCTCAGACTTCCAATATCCAGTCAAGATTCAGCCCCAGCCATCCTCTGAATATCAGACTCTTATATATAATGACCTGCTGACATCTCTCTCCATTTGGATATGTCTATGTTTTCATCTTTTGAGTAGTGTCTATGTAAGACAGAGTTCCTACTTCTCTGCCCCTTACACCTGTTCCTTTTGCCATTCCTCTTCATCTCGGTCACTGGCTCCATTCAGTTGCTCAGGCCAAAAACTTGTCATAGTAACAGACTCCATTCTTCCTGCACTGGCTCCCTATACTCAATCTATTAGCAAATCTTATCACAAAATACACCCCAGTTTGATAAATTGTCTCCACTCTTCACACCAGGTCAAACCACAAACACTTCAAATCTGGATTTCTGCAGTAGGCTCTTAAGGAGTCTCTTTACTCTAGTTCGGTGCTCCCCCAGGCGTTCTTGCCAGAGAAGTCTGTATGATCTTATTAAAAGTATAAATCAGATTACAGCATATCCTTGCTTAAAATTCTATAATGATCCCATCTCACTCAAAATAAAACCTAAGCTCCTTGCCCATGGCCTAGAAAGATCCTCTGGGATTTAACCTCAACCTCCCTCTTCCTTTTGTTCTGGCCTTCTCTACCTAGAACAGACAAACCTCCTCTTCTTCCTGGCCTCCAGAAGTGCTGACTCCTCTTGTCTCTTGCTCATCTTTTCAGTTAAAATGTAACCATTGGAGAGAAGCTTCCCTGATCTGTCCACTCAAAGTAGCTGATCCCTATCCCAGTCCTCTCTACTCCCAACTCTATCTGAAACGATCTCAAGAATAAGCTCCATGAAGGTAGAGATGGTCTGTTGGGATCACTTTGGGATCCTAGCATTGAGAACAGTGCCTATTAGGTACTTCATAAATTGAACTGAATGGGTGAATGTTGAGCTTGAGCCAAATATCTAAGAAAAACATTATTCAGCTTTTTCTAGTTGCTTTTCTGATTTTTAAAATGTACTTTTCCCAGGAAAACAGTCATTCTAAGAAAAAAAGTTTTATCAATATATACCAGTTTAGTAATAAACAGTATTAAACCAAATTTCCTGGAGGATGTTAAGCATTTTAAAATTCAGGCACAGGCTTTCAGGTTTAACTGGAAATTTATTTTAAAAACCTACTATTTCAATAAATTAATAATATCCACATGTTGCTGAAAACTATGGCGTGAGTATCAAATCAGCATATATCTCCATTGGCATAGGCAAAAGCAGCATTGATTATTCTAGGTGACTTGTCTGCCAACTAGTTTGGGACAGAATAACCAATTTTTAGATGATCTGTGTATCCTGCTGCTCTTTTTTTCTCTCATGCTTACTTTTAGTCAGTTTCACAGGAGCACAGTCATTTTATTTTTCTTATTAGCAGCTAGGAATGTTCAGGAAAGGAAACATGTATAATTGGTTTAAGTCAAAGTTCTGAATATGTCTTTGTTTTCTTCCTTGTAGGAATTAAATGAGATCATGCACATGAAATGTCCAGCACAGTTCCTGACACAAGTAGATGCTCACATGCCAGCAGTCTCAGCTCACACTACATATAAGGATCATTAGGGCTTTATACAATATTGGTGCCCAGGACCTATTTTCAGATTCTTGGTTTTAGCTCATCTGGGGTGGAGTTCAGGCACTGGCATTTTTTCAAAGTTGCCCAAGATGGGAAGATCCTCTAGATTCTACCAAATGAGCAACATTAATAAGTCTCGTGTCCCACTTGCTCAGGAACTAAGTATACCTAATGCACATAATCATGCAGCTACTGCCACATGTCAGTTGTAGCCTCTGCGTGAACAGACTCTGCAGGCATTTTGCCCTCTCTAACCTCTACCCAGAAGGTAATTCACAACCTTTCTGAGGATGCAGCTATCAAATGTTCTGAGACTTGTAACCTGACGCTCCCCTACTTTCCTAAAAATAAGACTGAACGCTGAATAAGACTGAACGGGACACCATTCATTCAATCATCCTGTCTTTTGAGCTTTTAAAACCGCTATGTGACTTTTGGATTTATATTAAGTGTTTCCAAAACATGCTCAAAGGATTTAATAAAGCTCCTTAAGAATGACCAAGATATCTTGCGGATTGGCTAACTTTGAACTGCAGACAATGGTTTTAGCTTTTCATAAGATTTAGTATCATGTCTTGAAGAGATAATGAATGAAAACTAGATCTGAAAGTGTTATTTTTGAATAACAGATGAAAAACTGTAAGTCTTTTTATTTAAAAAATTATGAAACCTATAAATAACTTTGGAAATGTTATTACTTTGGAAAAAATAAAGAGATGGGCCACCGTTTACAGTGGATCTGAATGCTAATCAACATTTATGACCTGAAGTCAATTTGAAAAATATAAGAAGTTTAAAAAAACAAAAAGAAAAAATATATAGTAAGTTACAATCTGACAAATCACAGACTTTAACAAAAATAATGGCCTATTTTTATACTTAAGCTTGTAATTATAAGGTAACTGATCATAACTAACACTTGACATATTCCCATCCTTTGATGCAGGTAAGTGACTGATCTTGGCACACCCAGTGGCAGAGAAAGGCAGAGTAATAAAGGCAGTAAAAAGTATGCAGGGTAAGAAACATTCTAAACTGTTTGGCAGGCAAAAATATTCTGGCTTATACCAAACAAAGAATACCACCAGGTAATAGTACAACGTCACCTAGATAAACCAATGAAAGTGAAGGCAATAGCTTTGATGATTTAAGACTAAAAACAGACATCAAAAACTTGTTTACTTTTCAATAGAAATTCAGGGCAAACTTTGTTCCAATTGAAAATAATGCCCTCATTTCAACTAGTTTTTAATTAAATGCTTAAAATAAGATGATTAACTTAATATTCAGAAGTTAGATTTCATATGCCACTGATCAAAATGACCCTGAAATGTCTCTACCTCAATAATAATGATAGTAACAACTTTCTCATAGGAACTTCTAAACTAGAAGGTAAGCAGAAGGACCTCTCTCCAGCTGTCCTCACCTGTTGCAGAATTGCTCCCAGAGAGTTCTTGTCTTTTTGATTGACGCCATCTTTTTGGAGTCGAGCAAGCAACTCAGGTTTCTTGTAGGCCTTCAGGGCCAGTAAGTGAATCACCCTGTCCCTATATGGCCGCTGAGAGACACTGCTGCTGCTGTGTGCCTTTCGAATCGTATTTGCAGGGTTCATGGGGGTTGACCTTTTCCTCTCAGGTACTGCATCTGAAACGGCTTGAGGTGCTTTCCGAATTTGTACTCTTTTCCCTAAGGTCCAGTGGAAACGACATTGTTACATTTGCAAGTTACAATATAATGAACATCTCAGTTTCCACAACTCTGACTTAGGTACTTTTTCACCTCTGGAGAAAATAATGGCCATTTTATTTCAATTTTTACTTTAAAGAGACATGCAAACAGAAAGCATTTAAAATAAATGGCCTAAAATATAAATTAGGACTTATTTTGATGGAATAATTTCTTGGAATACATAGTATAGGTGTATTTTAGTCACTTAGCTACACATGAGTGATATTCACACAAACTGTTAATGACAGACTGGATGTTTTAAGATTGTAGGTTATTTGATATCAAATGAGAATAAAATAATTTCCATGTACACCTGTGCTATTTACAAAACTTAAATTTTATCTTATAGCTGAAAATAAATATATGCCATTTCTAAAAAGCAGACCTGAATACAGTGAGCAGGTGAATGTGAAATATACCTGTCCGACCTCACTAAGAACACACTCTTGACTGAGCTGGGGCATCATGTTAATAATTCACATATTCTGAAGCCACAAGGAAGGAGTAAACATTTGCTAATGATAATCTTTTTCTACAGGCTGTGACAAAAAATAAAACCAACCAATTAAGCAACCAACCAGTCTCAGAGGACCAGACAAGCAGATCTCTCCTCTGTGGTGCTGAGACCATCCAGGTGAGTGAGAGGAATGGAAATGGCACAATGGAGGCCTTCACACAGCTCTGTTTTGACTGAACACTGGGCAACTGAATATTTCTAGGACAGCTGAGTGGGTACATGGCCACTTCCAGAACAGACATGAGCTGAAGTGATCGGTATGTGTGAAGCTACTCCAGACATGGCTGGTCACTAATGACCCCAGAAACCATTCCTCGTGGAAGCACCACAGAAAGTAAAATGAAACTGGGTAAGACCCTCATTGTATGATTTTTGAGGTGGAATCTTTCAGCATCTTTGGTACACACTAAATCCCACTCTAGGCCTTCTGGTTAAAGAGGGGAAAAAACTCATAATGACACACAACATGGGGCAACTACATTAGGAACAAGACTAGCATTTAGAAACAAGAATAAGGATGAAGAGCATAAAGCTGTGGTCTAGGATAAACACAGCTCAGCGGGAAAGGTGCTTTCCTGAAGAGTAATTCTGTTCACTCTGGGCTCCCTGAGACTGGTCCCATGGCTTGTTTTGACCTGACCCTACTTACAGTAAGAGAAAAAGAATGAAAGCTCCCAGGAAACCACCACCAGCTGAGATGTTTCTTTACTATCTGGACATAGCCAATTGCAAATATCAAATCCAACGTTTGCACAACAAAAGAACTCGACATTAAGGGGATCCTGCCTAATGATAAGAAGAACTGTTAAATTAAGTTGTAACTAATGTCTTAGAGACACAGTTAGATCTGGTTTCTGTATTTTTCTTAATTTTAAGACAGGTGAATTAGAGTCAGATGCAAACTGATATTTGCCATGCATCAATTATGTGGGGGCAGTGAGCTAAGAGCTTCATACACATTATCTCATTAAATCTCACAGTAATCTAAAAAGGTAGACACTGTCCCATTTCACAGATGAGAAAACTGAGGTTTTTTAATGGGATACATTCAAATAGTAAAGGGCTTGCGTAGCTTTTGGAAGGTTCTGTAATTTAATTAATGCCAAATTTCCTCCTTGTACTTCTTTGTGGGAAAAGTTTTAGGAACAAAATGTGTATTGTTGCTTCATGGCAGGCCCTAAACTCATGAGGTCAGAGCCGGTACTGCTTTGTCCACTAGCAGACCATGAGACGGTATTTGATGCCTAAGTGAATGACAGCAAGAAAGTGAGGAAGGAAGGGCAGGAATCAACTTAATTCGCATTCTTCCACCTAGCCAGGCACACCCTGAAATCTCTAACATGGCCAACATATGCTTTCCAATCCACTGTTTCTTGGCTGAAATGGTGTTAACAAATAGTATGATTCCTTGATATTTTAAAAGGAATTTGTAAAAAAAATTAAGGTCAGGATCACAAAAGTTTAGAAAATCCTATACATTCCACATTCCCCTCCCCTTTACTGAGTCTTGCAAAAAAAGAAATCCGTTTAACTCACTCTTCTCCACAAACAACCCCTGTAACCATTAACTGAGTATGAAGCCCTTCTCCTCCCTCTATCTCTCTCTCCCTCTACCCCCACCCCTTCCTTCCTTCTCTTTCTCTCTCTCTCTGAAGGAGGATGGGCAGAGACTGCTTTTTAGCTAAGCTCACACACACTAGGACTGGTTATTTAGAATAAATTCACGCAGGAAGGCCAATAAAAGTAAAAACAGAGATGACAGTACTGCCACTGTGTTCCAGGTGCCCCACCTCCTCTGGACCTCTAATCTACCTCTGATGCTTATCTCAGGAGGTCTCCAAGCTCTCCTGGGTTTATCCCCAGCCCTCTAAGGAGCAGGCAAAGGACTAATAAGAGAAGTTCCCTTTGTCCTTAAGAGGGATGTAGGTATGAAGTCTGACAAGAAGTTGACAGTCTGATCAGGGAGAGGAGAATTGGAACCTTACTTGGGACCACTGCTAGGCTGTCACCTGCCATAAGCTGCCCACCCTCAAAACAGTTACTTCACCCTTTGCCTCATTTTTCTTTTGACAGCCAGTAATGGGATAACCCATTTCACTCAAATGCTTCAAAGAACAGCCACACTAGGCCACTGAAGAAAACTCAAGGATCACTTGCTTACTACCTCTGCATCCCTTTTGTGCTACTCAACAACAAAAAAAGGAGTCCTCTGAATTAAAGGAAGATAGGCTATAGATGAAGAAAACATAAATACAGGATGGAGATGCTAAAAAAAAAAAAAGCAAAGTAGGAAAATGTCAGGTTCAAAGTGGGCAGAAGAAAGGCTTTGCCTTTATTTTTTATATTTGCTTCAGAAAAGCCCTTTTAATAAAGCCTATGGGAGAACCGAATTCTCTTCCCAGACCCAAGTGCTAATCAATTCCCTGGGCCCTCTATATAAGGGCAGCAGTGGGTCTGACAGGTTGGGTAGTCTGGGACTATAGCTAAACCGTTGTTTCATAACAAAGAGTCCAAGTCTAGCTTCTCCATTTAAAATGAGATGGTGAAAATATTCATCTCAGTCTAATAGCTTTGAGTAAACAATCTGAGAGGAAGAAGTTAAAACAGTCCATCAGAAAGAGAGTAGGAACTGCAGCTGCCTTCTGCAGTTGTTTTTCTGTTCTGTAGAACCTGACCAAAAGCCTTGGCAACACAGATCCAAGGTTTTAAAAACGTCAGCAGGCTTGTGACGATGACACGACTCTGTCATGGTTAAATACATAATCCATTGCAAAGGAATTCATCACCACTATTCGGCATTTGTGATCATGTTTTCAACAGGTTTTCTACCAAAATATGTATAATTAACAGTCACAAAATGTTAGGACCATAAAGATGTTTAGATGTGACTGAGTTCAAGCATCCACTTCTTTTAATATCTGAGAAAATTAAGATGTTTGGTGATTGGTCTGGTTACTCAGACATGTGATAATTTACCAAAAATAAGGAGGGTGAGGGAAAAAATGAAAACAGAATCCAAGATATTAGATTGGTTGGGTTATTTTATACACCTAAATACTAGTACATGTAAAAATTAGCAATTCAATAAAATTCCAGAATTCAGATAGCAGTGAGCAGACGTAAGATACTTATAAACTAGAAACAGTGGTGATTAGAAATTTTTTTAAACAAAAGGAAGGGATTATAATACAACAATGTAACTACTGATAAAAATGTTTTGATTAGAAGCAGAAATATTACTGAATAAAATTGTTTTCTAGGTTTAAAAGCCTGTAAATAGTCTTTGGTCTCTTCAGCCCCAAAGGGGGTCACAGAAGCTCATGTTACCAGGTGATGAGGCCAGGAGACCCCTAGGAGCACAGTCTCTATTCCCTCAAGCTGGACTTGTGCCCTAGTCCAGCTGTCAGAGACCTGGCATCATGCCACAACCGCCACAGGGGGACTGGCACTGTGTTCACTAGCCTTCCACCCAGGCTGACACTATTGAAAGAAGCCTTACACTACAGATACCTTAAGCTGGCACAGATGAGTTTTTGGTGTCATTTTATATAATATAGTCAATTATGATCTAAATGGATATTTCCTCCTATCTTAAGAAAAGCAAACAACTTGTTAATGAAGTCATACCCATATCATTTGCTACTTGCTGACACCAACAACTCGGTATGTGAAATAGAGAGAATCATGACCCTGTTCATAGGATGATTATGAGATTCCAATGAATAATTACATGTGAGGGGGCTAACCAGTGCCTTGTGTACAGCAAGCACTCAATAAGTGCTGGGTTGGTCATATTAGTACCAAAGGGTAACTGACTAACATTTTAAAGAACCAAACACGAGACGCTGAGAGGAGCAGAAGACCCAAACTGAGTTGCCTAAAAGGAAAGAAACATGGGAAAAGGGCTGGCCGTGGATAAGGGTCAAAGAAAAAGATCAAAACAGACATAAAGTACATTAAAAAATCAAAACAAACATAAGAAAAGCCGATGGGGATTCTTGAGTCTTTTGCTCCCCCATATTCTGAATGAATGAGAGTTTTATTACAGGTAGTGTACCCAGTTCTGAACTCTGAGGTGAGGAGTTGGAGACTGTCCAGAGGACAGCAATAAAATAATTAAAGGGTTGGGATACAGGCCATATTAAGAAGTGTCAAAAGGAGCTGGGGTTATCTGGCCTAGAGAATAAAAGGCTGAGGAGGTTAATGACAAGATGTAAGACCAGAGAAGGACACTGTGCTGTGACAGTGAACAGCCAGGTCACTGAGGACAAAGTCAAGAGGAAAAGGCTGACAGACTGTCTGAGCTGGCAGAGACTCCTGCAGGGTTCCAAGAGGAAGCTAGGTGTGGAGGGGTGGCCAAGTCTTCTTAGAATCGTGGAGATGTAACTCAGCTCACATGTAAACTTCGATAACCTCAAGTTTCCTGCAGTCACCTCCAAAATGTATATAAATGATTTGGAGTACCTGTAAGAAACTCTGGAAATTCTAAGATTCCCAGTACCATTAGGAAATATGTGGTCTGTGGAATTGTGGGTGTTAAAAAGTCTGTTGTGCAAGCTGTAAATGAACTGCACCTAACCCCACAAAAGCAAACAAAAACACAGGAACACAGAAGACACTCAGTGGGGAGGTGCAGTCATCATTGCTGATTTTCAAGCTTTAGAATAAACCAATGTGAGAGTTTTCATCTAGTTATACTGGAAGAAAAAAAATTATTTTGATGGTTTGAGTCATCTATTCCTTTGTCAAACACCAATTTGTCTCACTGTTTATAGAATAGTGATCCTGGGCAGAGTAAAACAACACTTTCAAAGCAACAGGGCAGACAAGTCATAATTTATACTTAAATGCAAGTGTGGCAGATCTTGTACATTTTAAAGACAATTTGAGATTTAGCTTACTAGCCCAGAAAATTAATTAAGTTATGTTGAGGGTAAAGGAGAAAGAAAGGAGGTTGAAAGTTGTGACCTCACTCAGCAGGAAAGGGCAGGTGAAAAATCTCACTACAGGTGACTTACTGGGCAGGGAACTAGGTCCCATAGGTATAGACACCTGGGGAAGCCATGAATTGTTGTTAAGCCAAACTAATGTATCTAAGCTAAGCACCAAGTCCCAGGAGCACTGGCTTTGTTCCAAAGAAATACTTATTAAAGACACTACTGGAGTTTCTCAAAGCTGAATGTACTGCAGCTGGATCAGTAATGAGAAAATACAGAAATAGAATTACACCCAGCCTTGGAAAGACGTTGGTTAAGGGATTTGGTTCTTCAAGAAACTTTTTGTGGGCATTTAAGCTTCAATATCAATATCCTTTCATCATGTACTACAGAGTGACTTGTGTTATTAAACTGATCAAGCCTCGAAGAGTTCTTCCTCACTCCTGATAACTTTCTCTGTTGCTGTTAAAAATCAATGTGAATTGACTAAAAGTTGTCAGGGTCACAGTTTATCAAAGAGACACTCATCCTGCCAGTCTTGTTTTTAACTTCCCTTCAATCTGATAGATATAGGAGTGAGCTGAGGATAAAAATGATGGGATGGTGGGAAAGGTTCTCTGTTTACGGATAGATGGCATCACCTTAATGCTTTGTTATAATGCTTTGCTATGAGCATTTTATACTTTTCTAACAACAACAACAAAAATTCTTATAAAGATCCTCTGAAAATGTAAGAAAAATCTGCAACAATGAACAAGGTTATCAACTCATAAATTCCACTAATAGATTTTGCTGTAAAAATAGCCATACAATAGGGCAAAACAAGAACCATACTGTCCACCACTGAAATTACATCATCCAGAAAACACAACGGTACCACTATTACAACTTAATGTGGTACCATGACCAGCTCCTAGTATTTATACAGTAATAATAAACATCCAACAGAGTATTTAGGGTTTAGGAAAACTGTAACATGTTAAAATCTGTTCTTAAATTTACTAGCAGTCTGATGAGAACAAATGGTTTTGTTTCTTACGTGTAATCCAAAATGTTCTGAAAACTAATCTCTATGTTTTCATTAAGTTAATATTACTGGTATTTACCTACAGTGATCTTGAATTACTCCAATCAATCAGCAAGAGGGAGAAAGGTATCTATACAAACCTACATACGGTCCGCCGGGTTTGATAACTTTTGTGCTTCGGTTGCGGGATTCCTCCTCTGCCTGGGTCATTCTTTCTCGTGTCATCTGATACGAGTCGTTTGTTGCACACACTGTAATTTTATCTTGTATAAATCCCAGGCAATTGAGCTGGGAGGCTCCAGAGCTGTCAAGTAAGACAGCGGCTTTGTTAGACATGACCCTCATTTTGCACAATAAAGGCAAGCAAGAATTGTATAAGCCTAAAATCAGCATTCCAAATAAGTCTGCAATCCTAATATAACTAATATTAACTTTTCAATGTAAAAATTATTTAAAATATTTAAATTCCTCTCTTCTTCATTTCAATTTTTTTTTTTCAAATTCTGCATATATTGAATGTAATGAACTTTCAGAGACCAAATCCAAAAATTTTGGGAAAAAAAAAGTCAGTATTTGGAGTGAAAGCCAGAGCTTAACGGGCATTGTAGTTTTACTTTCATTTAACAGCTGTTTTGATTTTTTTATTTTTCTGGGACAGGGTCTCACTGCATCACACAGCCTGGAGTACAGTGACTTGATCATAGCTCAATGCAGCTTCAAACTCCTGGGTTCAGGCAATGCTCCTGTGTTGGCCTCCTGAGTAACTGGGTCTACAGGCACGCACCACCATGTCCCGTTGATTTTTCTGATTCTTTTGTAGAGACGAGGTCTTGCTATGTTGCTCAGGTTGGTCTCAAACTCCTGGGCTTAAGTGATTCTTCTGCCTAGGCCTCCCAAAGTGCTGGGATTGACTATAGGTGTAAGCCACCACACTCAGCTATTTGTAACAGTCAACTACTTGTAAGAATTAGCCACATTAATATGAGAAAGGTTAAAAACCTCACTTTTAGTGAAACCACAATGTGCATGTTTAGAACTGACTAGATAAAATGAATCTACCACAATTCTTTTGATTTTTAATATGGTATTACTTTTAAGGCTAAAATGCTATAAGACATTAGAGCTTATTTTAGCATTATTAATCCAACGTTTCTGAAAGTATTTAGAATTTGTATGTACCACTTTGTTAAATCTCTATATAAGTTGACTTTTTTTTTTTTTTTGAGTTGGAGTCTCACTCTGTCGCCCAGACTGGAGTGCAGTGGCCGCTCCTGGCCACCACAGCCTCAACCTGCTGGGCTCCGGTGATCCTTCCGCCTCAGCCTTCCAAGTAGCCGGAATTGCAGGTATGCGCTACCAAGCCCGGCTGATTTTTTGATTTATTGTAGAGGTGAGGTCTCGCTGCCCAGGCGGGTCTCGAACCCGCGGGCTCAGGCAATTCACTCACCTCAGCTGCCCAAAGGCGTAGGATTACAGGCTGAGCCACCGAGCCCGGCTAAGATGACTTATTTTTATAACAAATGTTGAAGAAAGTTCAAGGCATATACTGATTTTTGCAGAAATATTTTTAAAACCTTTACTGAATCATGAATATTAACATGGACCCAGAAGATGGCTGTTTCAAAGAAATATGCTAATATTAGGAGGATCAGGGTAACAGCCATAACTGTTGTTTTAAATATAAATTACTATAACCTTAAAACAAACAGGAATATAAAAGTAATGAAAGTGACACTACAGGCTCTGATCCTCTATTTCCAATTTTAATTGGACGTAGCTATTGTAATACTAAGAAATAAGTGTTGATCAAATTTTTGTAAATTGCTAATAACTGTCTTTACAAGTGGTATTTTTTAAAAATTCAGTTTATTCATCTCCCAAATATTTATTGGGCAGGGATGGCATGCCTGGCAATGTGAGAAGAATAGAGGCTGTGACAAGGACCAAGGTAGACATTGTCCCTCCTTCAAGAAGCTCTATAATGGGTGACAAGGATGGGCCAACCGGAGATTACAACTCAGGGAAAGTCCAGGAAGGACTTCCTAGTAAGTGATGCCCAAACTGATCTAGAAACTCATCTGGACAAATTGGGAGGGAGGACTGAAGTGTTCTAGAGGATAACCAACCTGGGCAGGCCCAGGAAGAGCAAGGAGAAGGTTTCCATATTAGCTGGAGAATGCTGGGATGGACAATTAGAGATGAGGCTGAAGAGGGAACAGAAAATACATCACATAGAGCTTTGTGGATCCTGTTACAGATTCTGGACTTTATCCCAAAGATAACATTTATTGAAAACAGGGGAGAGAACACATCTCATTTGTATTTTTTGAGACAGCTCAATCTGGATGGAAATTAGACTGGGAGGAAGGGAATGCAAGAGGAAGAGCCTAGTTAGGAGGCTACTGACTGATGGCGTGAACCAGTGGAGGGCAATGAGAATGCAGAATAGACAGACAGTGAGGAGGCAAAACTGACAAGATTAGTTAGTGATTAGCCATGGGGGAAAGAGAGGGAGGGCAGTTAACCATGTCCAGGTTACCAGGTAAATAGGGCTGCCATTTAGTGAAACACTGAATACAGGGCAGGTTACTGATAGTGTTGGGTGGAAGAAAGCAAAGTTCAGTGTTGAAGATGGTGAATTTGAGGGAATGAGGAGAAAAGGCGTCTTAGGAGAAAAGGTGTCTCACAGGAGAGAACACTCTGAAGAACACTAATGTGTTAAAAAGTTAGGCCAGGCACGGTGGCTCACACCTATAATCCCAGCATATTGGAAGGTTGAGGTGGGAGGACTGCTTAAGCTCAGGAGTTTGAGACCAGCCCAGCAACATACCAAGACCTTGTTTCTACAGAAAAAAAAAAAAAAAAAAAAAATCAGGCCGAACTGGGCGGCTCAGCCTGTAATACCAGCACTTTGGGAGATGGAGGCAAGTGGTTTGCCTGAGCCCGCAGGTTCGAGACCAGCCTGGGCAACTTGGCGAGACCTTATCTCTACATAAATTAAAAAAATTAGCCAGGTGTGGTAGCGTGCACCTGTAGTTCCGGCTACTTGGAAGGTAGAGGCAAAAGGATCACTGGGACCCAGCAGGTTGATGCTGAGGTGGCCATGAGCATGCTACTGTACTCCAACCTGGACAATGGAGTGAGACTCCAACTAAAAAAAAAACAACAACACAAAAAACCCCACAAAAAATTAGCTGGGTGTGGTGGTGCACACCTGTAATCCTAACTACTCAGGAAGCTCAGGCATAACGATGACCAGAGTCCAGAACGTCAAGACTGTGGTGAGCCACGATTGTGCCACTGTACTCAGCCTGGAGACAGAATGAGACCTCTACTAACAAAAAAAGAGAAAAATAACTAAATAAAGAAACAGGAAGAAAAGAACACATGAGACCAAAAAGCCATAGCCAAAGAGGCAGAAGGGAAACCAGAAGAGTACTATGCCATGGAAGCCACTGAAATAGATGCTTTAAGCAGCAGAGTTCAAAATACTAAGAAACCAACGAGCATCTACTGGATTTAGGGGCAAGGAGGTCACTGTCCCCTTGGGGAGCAATTTCTGGGGAATGGTGGTTACTGAAGCCAGACTTTGGGCAGAGGACTGTAAGGAAGGTTGTTGTTTTTATTTTCTTGTTTAATGAAACAGACTTGAGTATATTTGAATGCCATAAGAACAATGAGAGAAAAATGGGGAGAAGGGAAGGAGCAGGGAATGGGAGGAAGTGACCGCAGTAGAGCGAAAGTCGGTCTGGAGGAAGGAAGTTTGTATTTTAACTTCTCTCCCTATTATTTACTAGGCAATGTACATGGTGAGAAAAAGTTAAACCTATTGCCAGTTGTGATGAAGTTATGGTTTATACCATTTAAAGTCAGCAAACAGATCTTTTTTTTGAGTTGGAGTCTTGCCCAGGCTGGAGTGCAGTGGTACACTGTTGATGGTCACCGCAGCCTCGACTTGCTGGGTTCAGGTGATCCTTCCACCTCAGTCTTCCAAGTAGCTGGAACTACAGGCATGCACCACCATGTCTGGCTAATTTTTGATTTGTTGTGGAGAAGAAGTCTTGCCAAGTTGCCCAGGCTGATCTCAAACCCCCAGGCTCAGGCAATCCTCTCACCTTGGCCTCCCAAAGTGCAGGGATTACAGGCTTGAGCCGTTGCACCCAGTGGCAAACAGATCTTTACACAAAAACAAAATGGAACTAAACCCTGTAGGTAATATGAAACTCTCTGGAATTCGTAACTCATCCTTTCTAATCCAAGTTATCTTGAAAGTTTAAATACCTGGACAAATGTGTCTAAGTATTCCTGCAGTCTTTCGCTAGCCTGGTTCACTGCTTCCCATGCGTGAGTGTACATTACTATATGCTATTTGCCCCAAACTACACATTTCTACTAAGCCTATGAATGGGTAGGAATTAAGAAATTTTTGAAAGGCCATTTGGACTATGAAATTTCTTCCATTTATGTGAAAAGTGAGGTGCAAGAAGGTTTAAAAATGTAGGTAAGAAAGGAGACCAGTTAATTGGTATTTGTTGAACATGTATTTACTGAGAATGTATTTTGAGCTTAGCCAGGGCCTCCCTCGGGGAGTGTGCACTATTGTCAGGCAAGATCCAGGGGAAAAATGGAATGAAATTGAATAGAAAAGTCAGCCAGATTACAGACAGATTTGTTTGCCAGGTTGAGGACTGAAAGTTTGTGTCCTTTTGTTTTCATAGTGGCAAATTTCAAATTATACCCAAATGACACCCTTTTATAAAGCACCATGGATTACCAAAGGGTTACATTTGCCCCAACTTTCTTACAATAGCTGCTTCAGTTTTCTTGTTGCGTCGTGTATAGTTTTGTAAGTGACCTTAAGTCCTTCTCCAAACAAGGAGGGTGGAAATAAACACACAGTGTTTATGATGTAAGGATAAAGCTGTATTACTTATGGTGATATGACTGGTTTTGAAAAGGAAATTAAACTCCTTAATAAGGGGACATAGTTCAACGGTGTCAAAATGTGCTCACTATAATAAAATAACTATCTAAAGACAAGCACCATAGATGATGACACCACAACTAGAAATTAATGTGACCTATATGGTATGCAAAGAATACTGGGTTGGGGGTTAGGAGGGCTCAGTTCTCATTTGGCCCAGCCACTAACCAACCAGCTACAGAAATGTGAAGAAGTCATCTGTAACATGAAGGGGTTGGCTCATACCATCACCAAAGACACTTATACTTGGAGATTCTATAATATATCACAGTGCCATCCAACATACTTTCTGAAATAGTGGAAATATTATATATCTGTGCTGTTCACTATATCAGCCACATGTAGCCACTGAGAATGTAAAATGTGGTTAGTGTCCATGAGCAATGAAACTTTAAATTTTATTTAACTTTTATCAATTGAAATGTAAATAGCCGTATGTGGCCAGTGGCAATCACAATGGACAACACAAAAAAGTCTAATAATCTAGAATATTTACAATTTATACCAAAAAATTAAGTTTGAAGATAATTTTCAAAAGGAAAATTAACATATACTCAGGTAAAATGGCAGACAGATAAAACAAATAAAAAAGTACTTATTCACCGTAAATGGGAAAAGAAATTTAAAACTCTTTCAGTGAAGTGGCTCATTTTGTATTCTGCCTTGTGTGCCTGCTCAGTGCTTGCACTTTCTAGTACCACACAGATAAGCCACAGAGAGGAACTGGCATGGGGTCCTCTAGGCCAGTGTCAAAGTCTTACACACTAAGGAAATGAGAGATCCCAAATCTCTATCCAGGGACAGAACAAACTCCCCCTACTCAAGGGCCCATTCTTTAATCAGAAACAACCAAAGCAAAGAAGAGGAAAACAAGTGGCCTATTGTTCACAGAGGATCTAAGTCGATAAGGGTTCCATGGTACCCAGGGTTGTGTATTCTTGTCCCCCTCCTCCTTTTGTTTTTTAATCGGGAGAAGAAGAAATTGCTAAACTGGGGTTAATTTCTACTTTCCATGCTGCTATGGAATCAAGATTTAAAAAAAACTCTCCCTTAAAACAAAGCTTGAACAGGAAAGAAGAAAGAGGACATGCAAGATGTATGTTTTCCTCCTTTACCCTTGAGTGTGATCCTCCAAGCTATAAGGTATTCTTATTTAAATGCAATCAATAAAACCTCCTTAAATCCTCAAATTGTCTTTATTTTTTTTAAACTCTGTTTTATAGATAAAAAATATTTCCTGCACTTTAAAAGCCCCCATGAGGTTAAAAATCTTAGAACTACTGTTACTGTATCCCAGTGACAAATATAATTTTAGTATACAGTAGGTGCTTAATATTTTTCCAATAAATAAATGAGCTCTGCAATTCAATTTAGTAAATATTTACAGAGTAACTACTAGGTATTTTATTAATTTTCTAAAACCTCCTTAAGTAAAAATTATCCACCCTTCCGCATACCTTGAAAAGCACTTACCTGGAGAATGTTTGCTGGATGCAGTCAAAGCTGCCCTGAGGGTTGTCTTTGCCCACATTTGACAGGTAGAAGTTAAAGTTATGAACTTCATTGAGAGGATCATTTTTGGGAATTTTGACAAGCTAAAAGGTGGGGGGAGAAAAATACCTCAAATTATAAATGTGACACAGAAGAGCTTATGACTGACTTACTGTTTTTTCAAGTGATAATAATTTTATACCCAAGTTGCCCTGATATGCATTCTTATAGGAATCTGGCAAGCATGTTTATGAACTCACCACATTTTTTATTTCTATTTTCTACCCTTAGCTGTCAGTAGTCACTTCTATTAGTTTTTGAGAGGAACCCTCTTAATTTCAAACTAGCAGATTATTGCAGTTCATATGGAAGCATTATTAGTCAACTTGCTAAAAAGCTCTTCCTCCTTTGAGCTACCCAAGTTTTGTCTTTGGCTTCCATGACCCCTAATGAATTGTTTCTATAGGTTCAAGTGGTCTCTGAGATATATCCCAATCTTTTGTTCTCTTAGTAAAAAGACATTTCATTTTCATTCTGGCGTCTTTGGGTAGTATCCTGAAGAATAACTAACAGCATAAGGCTAGTGCCATGATTACATACACAGGCAACATGCAACTGCTGTACGGTTCCATTATTCACCCCCATTTGTACAGAACAGGGTTACAGCCTACAGTGATGGTTCTGCAGGTTCTGCAGGTAGCTCACAGATAGGGCCAGGGAACACTGTGTAAGCGGCAGATGTGTCTTCTACATTTCTTGCTCAATGTCTGGTTTGCCTAGTAGATGGGAAGCTCCCTGAGCAAAAGGGCAAGGCTGCTGGTGACGACTGAGGCCCTGCATCAGCCACATTTCTGTACATGGTAGGAGCCTGATAAAGGTATGTGAACCACTGGAATATTCTTACTGTCCTTCTACTGTTCCACCCCTCCTATTGCCTGAAGCCCTTCCTCCCTTGGGTCTGCCATGGTGTTAGGTGATAATTTAAAAAAGGATTCATTGGCAAGAATTTCATATACACCTTCCCACCTCCAAAACACAATCTCAGTAATTTAGTATGCAAGCAGGGAAGAAGAATAATTCTCATTCTTCTCCTGCTGCTAAGAATGTATGTGTGTACATGCACTCATGGATGTGTTTGTGAGCATGGATGACCCTTGCCCTTGTTCTGTCCCGCAGGATACCCTGTAACCATTGACTTGCTCAACCTAAAAGACTTCCAAACCTTGATCTACAGTAAAGAACTGGAGCCAACCATTCCTGCTCCCCACCCCCGAGAAAGAAAGCAAAAAAAAGTAAGAAGGGAGATAATTTGCAGTATCTGGCACACAATAGAGACATAATAACTATTAGTTGAAAGGATAAATAAACAAGGGGAAGAAGTAAGAAGTAAAAGAAAAACACCTTTTCAAGGGAGATTCAGAAGACTCATGTAGAGTCTTCTTATTGGGTGTGCAAACTCGGCGCCTTGTTAGCACACACACATTGGGGACTCCTTCATACTAAGGCAGCAGGGGAGAGCAGAGCAAAGGAATGCTTGCATCAGACACAAGAGAACATGAAGTCCACCTGCACGTTGGTGTCACATCACTCGCTGATCTGCTATTGTTTTTGTGAGAAGAGCAGGGTTCTGCATTCAGACAGGAGCCTAAAGCCTCCCTGAGGCCTGGGAAGGAGGTGGGCAGGTAAGAAAGGCATGCATACCTGACTGAAACCCCCTCCCCAGCCATGATTCATCCACTTTCCCTCTGAACCCTCCACCTAGACCTGCAACACCTGATCAGGGAGATTGTCCAAGGGGCTGAGATCTCATTTCGGTATCGGGCCTTGGCTTCAGTTTAGGTCTGAAGTCTTCCTTTCTGGCAGCTCAGGTTTGGGATTACAGCAATGCTTTATCCCTCAGAGTATGGAAGACTGTCCCACTTGGGGATTCTAAACTGCATTTGAAAAAGTAGAATCATACAGTTTTTTTCTGTTTTTCAAGAGTGACTAGTTTGTACTCAAATTGTGCAAATGTACAGTAGTCTTTCACTGAAAACTTCTGGCTTAATTACTGGGGTTTTTTAGCTCCAATGTCTGCTAGATAGAACATTACATGTTCAGCTGGTAGCAAACCTTTATATTACTTAAATGTGGATTTTTCCTTTCTCATTCTCCAAACCACTCAATCTTCCAAACTTTTTAAGTAACATTTATACTTTTTAAAAATAAAAAATTATCTTTCTATACATTTTTCACTTTATTTTTTAAAACACACAGATAATTAGAGTCTAGCCTAATTTAGATAGTTCAATAACAAAAATATCTGGTATGAATTGTTTTTTGTATACACCCCTCACACTATTACAGTGTGAGTGGACACAGAAAGCTTTCATGTTCTTGTTCTTTAAACATCTCCTGAGTAGAATTAAAGCTACAGATTATATATAAATACATATAAAATGTGTGTGTGTGTGTGTGTGTGTGTGTGTGTGTGTGTGTGTGTGTACCAGAACAGGAAAGAATCAGCCTGAAAAGATAGTTAAAAAAACAAACAAACAAACATAACCCATGCTATGTATCCACCAGATTATTTTGAAATTTGTGTTACACATACATTTTTAATCCAGTCTACTTTTGATAGGCAGCATGGTTGGTTTTATGTTTTTGCTATTGTGAATAATGCAAAATTATGAACTTTGGAGCAACTTGGATGGATTTAGAGTCTGTAATACTCAGTGATACTCAGTGATCTATCTCAGAAACAAAGAACTGAGTACCACATGTTCTCACTCATAAGTAGACCCTGAACAATTAACATAACACTATAAGAAAGGGATTGGCAGTAGTGGGAAACTGACAGGGGAGGAGCGGGGAGCACAATTCATCAATAAGGGTACCTGATCTCAAACCAGGTGAAGTAGAGACCAAAGTGAGGTCCAATCTTTACCTGTACAAAGACTATTTATGTACCTAATCCTGAATTGTACCTCACATCTTTAAAATACAATAAACTAAACAAACAAACAAACAAAAACCCCAAAACAGTAGTTCTCAACAAGGGGCAATTTTGTCCCCCAGAGGACATCTGGTCTGGGATAATGCTATTGGCATGTAGTGCAAGGCCAGAGATACAGCCAAACATCCTACAAGTACACAGGACGGTCCCCACAACAATGAATTACCTGGTACAAAATGTCAGTAGGGCCATGGCTGACAAATTTTTAATTAGAAAAGGTAGGACATTCTCTTAGAAGAGAAGTCAGAATTTTGGATTCATTGACTTAGAAGTCAATGGAGAAGTGGAGGGAAAAATGGTATTTTATTTTATTTTATTTTTTTTTTTAGTTGGAGTCTCACTCTGTCGCCCAGACTGGAGTGCAGTGGCTGCTCCCGGCCACCGCAGCCTCGACCTGCTGGGCTCCGGCGATCCTTCCGCCTCAGCCTTCCAAGTAGCCGGAATTACAGGCATGCGCTACCACGCCCGGCTGATTTTTTTTGATTTATTGTAGAGATGAGGTCTCGCTGCCCAGGCGGGTCTCGAACCCGCGGGCTCAGGCAATCCGCTCACCTCAGCCTCCCAAAGGCGTGGGATTACAGGCTGAGCCACCGAGCCCGGCGAAAAATGGTATTTTAAGTGAATAAAGTATCCATGTTATTTCAAATATGGTTTTCCAGAGCAGCAGCATGCAGATGGTATGGGCTGCCCTAATTTCAAGTTTTTTGAGAGCAAAGTGTTACAGGCATATTTTATATCTTTAAAATTTCAAAAGCTTAAATTACACAGTCTACAGATTTAGTACATCTAATTTCTTGATGATGGTACAAATTAGATACAAAGCATGTTTGTATCAATATTCAAGTACACTCTTTTTTTTTTTTTTTTTGAGTTGGAGTCTCACTCTGTTGCCTAGACTGGAGTGCAGTGGCCGCTCCCAGCCACCGCAGCCTCGACCTGCTGGGCTCCGGCGATCCTTCCAAGTAGCCGGAATTACAAGCATGCGCTACCACGCCCGGTTGATTTTTTGATTTATTGTAGAGATGAGGTCTCACTGCCTAGGCGGGTCCGAACCCACGGGCTCAGGCAATCCACTCACCTCAGCCTCCCAAAGGTCAAGTACATTCTTAAGAATGAAATGCGGCCAAGCGTAGTGGCTTACACCTGTAATCTCGGCACTTTGGGAGACTGAAGCAAGAGGACTGCCTGAGACCATGGGTTTGAGACCAGCCTGGGCAACTTTGCAAGATCTCTTCTCTACCATAAAAAAAAAAAAAAAAAAATTAGCCAAGCATGGTGGTGCATACCTGTGCTTCCAGCTATTTGGAAGGCTGAGGCAGAAGGATCACCTGAGCTCAGCAGGTCAAGGCTGTGGTGGCCATGAGCGTGCCACTCCATCCTGGGCGACAGAGTGAGACTCTGACTTAAAAATAAATTTACAAAAAAGAACGAAATAGGTAAACAAAGCTGTGCTCATATTTACAGCTGGTAAGGCTGTATAACAGCTTGACCCATGGGCAGGAAAGCAGGAGACTTAGGGAAAGAGCAGGTAATGTATGATGACTAGGCCAGTCAGGCGAGAGGGGCTCAGAACTAAACTGTGGGGATCTCAGAGTGGATCAGGGCCTGTGGGACTGCTGAAGGCCAGATCTAGAGTGGGCCTCAGACCCTGTCTAATCTAGAGCCATTTCAGAGAGCTAGAGTTGCAGGAACTTGTGGATACCATCACCTCTCTGATATACAGGAAACTATTCCACAGCCTGTCTAGATATTCCTTTCTTCCAAAATGGTTATGAAGCATTTGCTGAAGAACTTGTCTTCGAATTTATGGACTATGAGGAAGGGGAAATGAAAACATACTGACTGCTACTGGTAGGCCTAGTGTCAGCTTTTGGGGACTGGGCTAACCACCATGGGAAATAAATTCTGAGGTCTAACTACAAACTACCCTGGGAGAATATCCCTCTGTGAGATAGAAACTTCTCAATTTTAGTAACAGTGTTTCATACTTTTTCTACAGGTCAGAGAGAATAACACTCTAGTTAAAGACTTACGATTTTGAACGCTTAGCTAAAAGCCTTACAAATAAAATATTTTAAAAGTACTTAAAAAAAAAAACCACTGTGATGC